CGTTTCTGGACGCCGGGGCCAAAGCCCTTGCATTGGGGGTAGCCCCTTTTCTGGGTGATGGTGTTTTTTTGCTTGCACGGTACTGATGTATGTGGTAGTGCTTTTTCCGTGGCCGCATCCGTGTGTTCTTTTTTTTGGTGTGCCGTCATACATGTCAGCACCCGCCCCCCAAGGAATTAAGTGAAAGGCTGCGTCGTGTTCCCCCCCCCCTCCCCCCCCCACAACAGGTCCGCTGTGACGCCCCCCCTGCCACAACAGACCGGCCCGCTCTTGACGTTCCGCTACGGAGGCCGCGAACGGATGCCCCCCCCCTGACACCCTACACGCACCCCTTGGCAGCGAAAGTCCGTGTGCGGTCACGGCACTCCCTCCCAACTACCGTTTTGTTATACTCTGCTTTTGTAAGCGCCCGTGGTGTAATCATTCACCGTGACAACTTAGCGTGCACAAGGGTATCTCAGTGCGTAGCCCGCAACACCCCTCCCTCCCCCGCCCCACTAGCGGCACCGGCGGAGGTGGGGTGGCGGCGGCAGTTGCTGCTGCTCCTGCTGAGAACATTGCCAGAAAAGTCTTCGGGCCGTGAGCGGGCGTCTGGAAAGTGAGTACATCGTATAGTGGGTGTATGCATGCACAACCCTCCTCACACCTTCCGAACTCCACCCACACGTGGAAGCACCTGGATACTACGGCGCCCCCGCTCCACTTCCCCGACGCGCTGGATATCATCGCGAATCGCAGGGCACCCCAGATCCACCCCCTCCCCGTGCGCATCGCCGCTCACTAAAAAAGATTCCTTCCGTGGCACAGCATCGGTGACATGACGAGCCTTAAGTCACTCGTCGTCCCTGCCAACACTCCCCCCTCCCCACATCATCGCGGAGATACAAAATCTCTTTCCGAACAAAAAAAAAAACAACGACGTGGGAAATCGCTTCCTTCCTTCCTCCGTGCACCATCTCCGCCGGAGTGGAGGGTCAAAGCCTCCTAGCTTTCGCCATCGTTCGTAACGCCATTTTCCTCTTGTGGGGATCTGAGGGCCAGATCCAACCCAAGAAACAGCACTCGGGGAAAGGACTGCCCCCCCCCGAAAGCACCCTGGCGTCCATTTTCTCGAGTCAACAAACTCGTTCTAGCAAACAAAACACACAAATTGGCTGCCCCTCTCTCTCGACTCCGCAGCTCTTCATCCCCCTCTCCCGCGCCGCACGTGGAATCCCCTCTCCCCCCCTACTCTCCGAGGATGGAGAAAAACCGAAACCGAGCGCAAGGTGCCTCCGGCAGCGGCCACAGAGAGACGGAGGGAGGAGAAGCAGCGGACGCACCAACCGAACCCCGAGACCGCACAACACCAGCTATTCAGCTATAACAGAAACAAACGCTCGTTCGCTCTCCGTTTTGTTAGTGCGGCCGCCCGTACTCTCCGTCGTCCGCATGCTGCCTGTCGCCGCTGCGAGTTCCACTCCCCCCGCCTCTCCGTGGGTCTGTGCCGTACCTGGCGGCCGCGATCGCCGCGTTTCTCTTGGCCATCGTGTTCGTCTGGGGAAAAAAACAAAACAAAAGAGACAAGCGGCGGGGGAGTCGCGGAGTGAAGGGTGGGGGATGCAGTACAAAAACATGAAACAAGACATGCGGCTGGAGCAAGTCGCGGAGTCAAACGTTTGTTGAAGGGTGGGGGGTGTAGTACAAAGCATGGGGGATAGTAGACATTGCGGCGGAAGGGAGCCGCGGAGTAAAACATATGTTCAAGGGGGGGGGGGGGGCAGCACAGCTGCGATCCATCACCGCCGGGGCACCTCGGACGCTGCTGTGTTCGTGCTAAGGACCAACGAAAAGAGCCATCGTTGGGCAAAACAGCAGCGGGTGCGTGGTTTGGTTTTGTTCCCGCCGCAGCCGACATGTCGCGGCGGCGGCGCTGCCCGTCTTGAGGTGCTACCCAACTACCCGACTACCCTACCGCTAGCTGTATCTAACAAAGCCGCCGCCGCCGCCGCCGCGTGCGCAACTCTCCTTTCTCTCTTGTTTGAGTTTCTCTCCAATAATGTTCTTTCATCAAGGTACTGAGCAGAGAACAGAAACGGTCATGTAAGAATTCATACGTAAATCACTGATAGACTAGCATACCCGTTGGAGATATGACCAGAGCCGAGGGTTGTCGGTTCTTTAACGTAGACAACAACCACCACAACAACAAACAAAAAGACCAATTACCTGCTTTGCCAGCACTGCGCGGATGGCGTCCCTGTCGCTTTCGTGGGTGAAATTCCCCTGCTCCGGGTGGTGTTCCTCGAACCACCTTAACAACGACAAAAAACAAAATAAAAACATGAGGAACAGTGCTGAGTGAGAGGGTCTCCGAGAAAATCAAGGGTAGGGGGTTGGCTCCACGCACCAGCACGCGAACCGTCATTTGGGCCCCAAAGACGAGAGAAGAGCAGGAGAGAGGGGTGTTTGAGAACGGCAGGTTACACGGACAAAGCAGCGAAAACGACTTGAGAGAAATTTGATCTCCCCCGTCGCACTGTATATCTATTAACAGTCTCTTGCATACTGCTGTACCTGCTGGACTGGCGGGGCACCACATCGATGCGACCATTGTGCGGTCGCTGGTGCGCTCCGTAAAGGAAGTGGGGCCTGTCTCCCACGGATGCCTTAGCACCAGACGCCTGCTCGTCACAAAAAAAAAAAAATCGTTGTCAGCGCCCATCGTAGGTTGAAGAGCGCCGCACTGGACCTATATATAGAAGCATTGCACCATTTTTTTATGGATTGATGCGTACGCCAAAGGCCACGTGCGGGGCGTCTAAGGAACGCAGCCAGCCTCTGCGCCACTCAGCAGCAGAAATATAAACACTCCGCAGTCTGCAAGACGATAACACGGCCGTTCACCACAAAACACATGACAAACACGCCGCCTTCTGGATATCCCACGGGTTTACCGGCAACCTTGAAAAACACGCCGCCACCTGGAGCTACTATCCCACACAGATCGCGGCGGAAACATGCGATAAAGTACGCCGCCGGCTAAACCCCTGGACTGGAAATCCCACGCGGTTCCCGGTAGAACCATGAAAACCACGCCGCCATCTGGAAGTAAATTACCACACGGTTCCCGGCGTCAACGCATATGAAGCACGCCGCCGGCCGAGCGGCCTCTTGAGCTCTCTTTCACCTTCTTCTTCTTGGGCACGAGGAAGTTGAACATGAACCCGTCCTGGGGGAGCGGCTCCGTCTGCCCCAGCAGCATTTCGAGCCGGCACCACCCGCGGGTGCAGTAGTGCGCCAAGCTCTTGTAGCTCCCGGCCCAGGCGCACGACTTGACGAAGCGGTTAGGGAGGAACTCTTCCCCGTTGTCGGCGCTGAAGCCACGGACAACACAGACAAACACGCGTTGTAGCGGTTAGGGGGGTGACGTCATGGCTTGTTGCTCAACATTGCCAAATGAAATGATTCGCGCAAGAGGACTTGAGGTCTGTAGAGCAGGGCCGGGCGCTGCCCCGTAAGGCCAGCACCACTCTCGCACCCCGCGGGGAGACAATGCCACATACCGAGACAGACAACCTCCCCATGGAAGAGCAACGCCGCCAAACACTCACCACATCAAACACGGCCCGCACGTGAACCGAGCGAAGCACAAAGCAGAAAATAAAACAAATATGAAACCTGAGAACACGGCATATGTAAGCGTTCGGGAGCGCACCTTACAACAACAGCAAAGAGACACAACTAACGTTGGAAAGGTGGAGATGCACGGCCAAAGCAGCAAATAACTCACGCGTCGCCGGGGTAAACCGTCAGGATGGCGTCACACCGCCGCATGTACTCCCTCATGCCTCGCATCGTAGCTTTGCTCCTTCGTGTCGAGTCCTGTCGTTCGTTGTTTCATTTTCATTGTGGGAGGGGCGGGGGGGGGCGAGACGCGACAGCAAAAATCAATAACAACAAAAAAATACAAGGGGGCGAAGCGTATGTATCTACTTGTATGAATGTCTGTAAAACGGGCCCAACGGCCAAGACAAGGATAAAAAAAAAGAAGACACAGGGTGCGGGGAGGCGTGTGTGTGTGTGTGTGTGAGCACTCCAGTCCAAACTTGTTCATGTGTCCAACAGTCCTCCCACGTTCGCTGGGTTTGCAAAAAGCACACCGCGCTGCCTCCTCTCAATAGTCAGCGGCGAAGATTGACAAAAGGAAAATAATTGTCAAAACGCAAGTGACACGCCTGGCGGCCGTAAAAAACACCAAGGCGAGCCCGGACAAGCAGTAGCAGCGAAGCGTGACCGGTGTATGCATCACGACACGGCACGGCTCCAAAGAACAGAATCAAACGCCCGTAACATGGCGGACAGAAAAAACAAACACAAACACACACAATAACCCCAAAATCGCCAGCACCAACAGCGGAGTTAGCCCCACATCCGAACAATCTTCTTGAGCGCCATCTTCAGATTCCAGCACGCCAATATCACAACAGAGGGTAGGGTTCCAATATCAACCCAAAACGTTCTCGCAAACCTATGCAATCAAGAGGCCAAGTGAATCTATCCAGGAGGCAACTTTTCCAACAACTCGGCGCCAACACTCACATTGCCGCAACAGCAGTTTCAACCCCTAAAAGAAACGCACGGTCGGGAGGTCCAAACCTCAACCTCGGCACTGCTGCTCAAGGGTCAAGCACACACCTGGTCGACGCACGAGTAGTCGATCCACAGCAGCACGCGGACGTCCGGCGGGAGGTGCGCCCTGATGCGGTCCCCGGCCTCGGCGATGAGGCGGTACTTCTCTCCCCCCCTCGAAGACGTGTCCGGGTGCGCGAAGGACGGGGTGGTGTGCGGCCTCATCCAGGCGTGGGACACAAACACCACGAACGATCGGCTGCGGTCGGGAAGGTCTCGGTATCGCACCAACGCCCTGTGTTGCGTGTGTTGCGTGTGTGTGTGTGCAGTTTGTTTGTTGTTGCGGAGCAGCGGAAGATGGGGGCAAACGGGGGAGGGGGGGGGGGGGGGTTACTGCTGCTGTCGCCGTTGCTGTTGTTCTTCGAAAGATAGGAGTGCGCCGGGTGGCTCAACAATCACTCTGTGGTAAAAGTTGCGTGTTGCATTCGTTCGAGAGATGGCTCCCGTGGCCTTCAAACAGTTGCCCATGAGAAGGTGCAGCAACACGATAACCCACATTCGTTCCTTCAAGAGGTGAAGTGACACACGATACGGTTTCTTGGCACCAAGAGCCTCTGCTCCTGGGGTGGTTTCGATGTTTCGACCGCTCTCGCCCTGTTGCTATTCCACACTCCACACAAGTTGACCGGGAATAATACTCGCTCCGCCAGTGACACGTGATGAGAGTCCCTCGCGTGTTCATTCAGAGCGCGGGCCGACGGAAACTGCAAATCGTCCATGATCACACGAGTTGCCACGCTTGACAACCAAGAGTTACCAGATGCAGGCGGGATTTCAAACAAGATCATCAAACCATACCGTTCGGCCAGTAGGAAAAATCGATTCCGCTCCCGAGCAATGCAGGGCAGGGGAGAAGCGGCCGGAGACAAACACACGCACCGCAGCAAATTAACGACCACAACGCCGCCAAACCGACCTTGACCGTGCCAGACAAGGCTCACGACTACCTACCGTATCTGTCAACAACACGCACAAACAACTTCTTTACACACAATCGCACGGTCTTCACGTGGCCGAAAGACTGTCGTATTGTTATTGGCCAGCGGGTCAGAGCGATCGATGCTAACAAAACAAACAAACACACACATCGCCTTTACAAGCGCGGTTGATGTTTTTCGCGGCACTGAGACTGAAGTATTGTCATTGGTCAGCCGGTCCCCACGGTCGATGCTACAGAACAAAAAAAGAAAAAACGCAACACCCACCTTCGATCAGAGCTCCTAGGCACCCTGCGGTGGGCCTTCAAGGCCTCCAACGGCACGAGCACCATCGACGGCAGCGAGTGCGACCCGGGGGTGGGCCCCCTCCTCAGCGCCGCGGCCGCCGCCGCAGCCGCCTGCCCGGGCGCCAGCACCGGCGCCTGCTCCGGCCGCTGCACCCCCGGCCTCTCGGGAAAGGTTACCCCGCTG